GCCGGCCAGGCCTAGGGAACCTACCCGTGCACGACTTTTGTGCACCAGGCCTCTAGTATTTCAATAAAGCCCGAGCTGGCTTGGCCCAGTGTCTAGAGCATCGGCCTGTGGACTGAAAAGTCACAGGTTCAATTCTGGTCAAGGGCACATGCCCAGGTTGTGGGCTCAATCCCCAGTGTGGGGTGTGCTATTTTTAAAAAATATTTTAATAAAAAAGTTATTAGAAAAACTGGACTGCATCAAAATTAAAAGCTTTTATACTGCAAATGATTACCATCAAGAAAATGAAAAACAACCCACAGAATGAAAGAAAATATTTGCAAATAAGGGACCTATATCCAATCTATAATAAAAGTGTAATAAGCTAATTAGACCAGACAGCCAGACAACCTTCCAGATGAAGCCAGGGTTGTGAGGTCCAAGCCCCTTGCACGAATTTTGTGCATCAGGCCTCTAGTCCTATATAATAAAAGCTTAATATGCTAAGTGTCCAGTCGCCCATTCAACCAATCAAAGCATATGCTAATGAGGAGCCCTGACCAGTTTGGCTCAGTGGATAGAGCATCAGCCTGTGGACTCAAGGGTCCCAGGTTTGATTCCCAACAAGGGCATGTACCTTGGTTGCAGGCACATATCCAGCAGGGAGTGTGCAGGAGGCAGCTGATCGATGTTTCTCTCTCATCGATGTTTCTGACTCTCTCTATCCCTCTCCCTTCCTCTCTGTAAAAAAAATCACTAAAATATATATATTTTTTAAAAAGAATGAAAAAAATATGCTAATGATATGCTAAGGCTGCTCAACCACTTGCTATGATGTGGACTGACCACCAGGGGGCAGACGCTTTGACCTACAGGTTAGCTTGCTGCTGTGGTCTGGCTGATTGGGACTGAGTGGGATGGGCCAGACACACCCTGGAGTCCTCCCGTGGTCCCTTCCCAGCTGGCCAGCCTCCCACATCCCTCCCCGGCCCTGATCGTGCACTGGTGGGGGTCCCTCGGCCTGGGCTGTGCCCTCTCACAATCTGGGACCCCTTGGGGGATGTCGGAGAGCTGGTTTCAATCCCACAGGCTAGACCGAGGGACCCCACTAGTGCACAAATTCGTGCACCAGGCTTCTAAAATACACATATATATATAAACTCTTGAGGAGGGGTGGGGAGGTTCAAGGTGGAGGAGATCAATGGGAAGAAAAAGGGGGCATTTGTAATACTTTCAACAATAAAGATAATTTTTTAAAAAAGAACTCTCTTACAACTCAATAATAAAAGAAATAATCCAATTTTAAAATGGGCAAAGCACTTGAATAGACATTTCTCCAAAGATATGTGAATTAGCCAAAAAGCACATAGATACTCAACATTATTAGTCATCAGAGAAATGCAAATCAAAATCATTTCACGTTCACTAGATGGCTATAGGAAAAGAGACAAACCAAAAAAAAAAAAGACAAATATCTGCTGTAAAGATGGAGAAATTGGAATCCTCATACTTTGTATATAAAGTAGTGTAGCCACTTTGAAAAATAATTTGTCCATAATGTCCACGCAGAAACCTACTATACACAAATGTGCACAGCAGCATTAATCATAGTAGCTAGAAAGTAGAATGACCCAAATGTCCATCAATTGCTGAATAGATATATATAAAATGTAGTAGGTACATACATAAAATGGAATATTATTCAGCAAAAAAAAAAGAGATGAAGCCCTGGCTGGTGTGTTCAGTGGTTAGAGCACCGGCCTGCCCACCAAAAAGTCTTAGGTTTGATTCTGGTCAAGGGCGCATACCTGTGTTGCAGGGTCAACCCCCTGGGTCAGGGCACATGCAGGAGGCAGCCAATCGATGTGTCTCTCTCACAGTGATGTTTTTCCTCTCTCCCTCCCTTCCTTCTACTCTCTCTTAAAATTAATAGAATAAAAATATCCTCGAGTGAGGATTTAAAAAAAAAAAAGACAGAAAATAACCAAGGAGCACATGAAAAGATGCTCAATACATTAGTCATTTGGAAAATCAAAACCACAATGAAATGCCATTTAAAAAAGAAAACATAGAAAGTAACAAATGTTGGCAAGGTTAATGGGGAATTGGAACCCTTTCACATTGTTGGTGGGAATGTAAAAGAGCAGAGCGGCGATGGAAAACAGTGTAGCAGTTCCTCAGCAAATTAAACATAATTGCCACATGATCCAGCAATCCCACTCCTAGCTGTATCTCCAAAAGAACTGAAAACAGGTGGTCTAACAAAAACCTGTGCACAAATGTTCACAGCAACACTAGTCGCAATAGCCAAACAGTGGAAATTACCAAAATGTCAATTAGGTTAACCATGTGAGGTGATGGATGTTAATTATCTCGATCTTGGTAACTCATACCAAAATATACATACACACACACATTTTATATATATAAAATTATACACACACACATTATATATATTACACACACACAAACACACACACAAAGTCAGCACCATTACACACTTTAAATATAATACAATTATTTGTCAATTATTCCTCAATAAAGTTTGGGGAGGGCAATTTTTTTTTAAATCCTGACCTGAGGGTATTTTTTTCATTGCTTTTACAGAGTAAAAGAGAGGGGGACACAGATTAGTTACACATGCCCCACCCAGGGGCAGGGAGGCACGTGGCCTCTAATCACTGAGCCCTCCAGCCAAGGGAGGGAGGGAGGGAGTTTTTAAGTCCATCAGGTGATGAATAGATAAATGAAACGTGGCCCATCCAAACAATGGAATATTACTCAGCCATAGGAAGGAATAAAGTACTGATAACTGCTACCACATGGATGACTCTTGAAAACATTATGCAAAGTGAAAGCCAGACCCCCGCCCCTAAAAAGGCCACACATTTTATGTCCATTTTATGAAATATCCAGAATGAATAGAGAAATCCAGAGACAATAGTGGTTGCTAGGGGGTGAGGGGAGGGAAATGGGAAGTGAACTTAATGGATATGAAGTTTCTTTTTAGGGTGATGGAAAACAAGTACTAGAACAAGACAATGGTGATGTCTGTAAACACTGTAAAGGTTGTACAAACTGAATTGGGTACTTTAAAATGATAAATTCTGTTTTTTACACAATTTCTTAGAAATACTGATACATGCTTCAACATGGATAATCCTTGAACATATTATACTAAGTTAAAGAAGCCAGTCACAAAAGTCCAAATATTGTATGATTCCATTTACATGAAATGTCCAAAGTAGGTAAATGTAGCGGCAGAAAATAGATCAGTGATTGCCTGGAGCTTGGGAATCAGGGAGTACAGGGGAGGGCTGAGTGCCAATCTAACGGGCTTCTTTTAGGGGGGCCTAAATGTTTTAAAATCAGATTGTGGTGATGGCTGAATAACCCTGTGTATATACAAACAAGAAACACTGGACTCTGCATTTCAAAGTGAATCGTCTATGTGAATTATATCTCAATGTTGTTTTAAAAAAGGGCAAAAACTGCTTGGATGTAAAGTTTGCAACCTCAGCTTAAAACTCATCTTCTCTATGACATCCACGTTATACTGATCTCAGCCAATTCCTACCCCTTGACTTCCGTTAGAAGCAGAACTACGTGAAAACGCTTACATTTTTTGGTTACGCTGGAACCTAATTACGTTGAGAGGACGGCTGCGCTTAATAAATTCCATTATACACGCACTTCTGGTCACCCCAGCACTTACTGTTGGAGTCAGATTTGCCCTCCCGCGAGCCCGACGCCCAGAGCCGGGAATGACTCCTTTGCCTTAGGGAAGTTCCCTGACTTCTCAACGAGACTGCAAGCTCCAAGGCTGAGACCTTGACTCCCATTCCTTCCGGATCCCGCCACAGAATGCAGAAACCAGAAAAAAAGCCTTAACTAAACGCCTGCTGAAAGGCGGCTACTGAGCATGCCCGGCGTGGCCAAGTCACTTCAACAACATTCCGGAACAAAAACTATAGTTCCCGCGTTAAAAGGTGGAAAAACAGAGGAGACGGGCGCAAAGCCTACGGACTCGATCTAAAAAGAAAGGCAAGGTTCAAAGGCTCAGCAGAAGTGAAGGACAAAACTTACACAACTCAAACATCGTACTTGGTAGAGAGATGTAGTCTGGAAGACCAAAAAAAGGGGGGGGGGGCTAAAAAAAATACTAGATTAACGAGAGGAGGGAGGTCAACAGGAGGATGAAGGGCACCGATGACGTAGGGTATCCATACGTTTCTCCAAAGCAACCCTACCCAAAAGTAATACCAAGATGATCGATTCTACAGCGTCAACACGAACGCAGGATGCAGTGCAACGAGGGAGGCTCACTTCGAAGTAGTTCCCTTTTGCAAACAAAAAGCCGGGCCGTGGCCAAGCTATCCAACCAAGGCTGGCTAAGCTCTCGGCTCCTGCCTTTAACCATCTCCCCGCCATCTTCTAGCTAAGAACCCAGAACCCTTCCTACGGGGCTTTCAGCAGCATCACCGCCGTGCAGAGAGCCCGGGAAGGCTGCGCTTCCCAGGGCGCCCAGACGGCGGAAGGGAGGAAGCCTCCACCTTGCTCCTCTCCGCTCCTGCTGGATGCACGCGATGGGCCGCGTCTTCCTTCCCCCAACCCGACCCCCAGCCCTATTTTCCAAGGTCCGACGCGATAGGGGGGCGCGAGCCCGGTGCACGGGCCTCACCTGCACACGCCGCGGATGCAAGGCTCCAGCCAGATGCGGTAGGCGGTCTCGATGTGCTCCTGCGACACCTCCTCGGGCCGCACCGTCTCCGCCCAGCGCCAGGCTGCCTTCTCCAGCTG